TGCTGAGACGAAACAAAAAAACAGAGAAACTGATATGAACAACTGAACATCCTTGATTTTGTGGTTAAGAGAAAGAGAGATACATGTTGTTGCTGTTGTTGCTGTTGCTGCTGTGGTTGCTGTTGGTATTGGTGTTGGTGTTGAGGTCGCTGCGGGCGAGCTTGAGGCTGGAAGGAGTTGAACGCAGGTCGCATCCTCCGTCGTGAAGGATTTTGCTCTGCTGAGGTTTTGGGTTTTAGGTCTAATTGTGAGCGAGCAAAACCGGGTCGAAATCAAATCAAGACGATGCTCGGTGGAGTAAATTGGTTATAGCTTGAACCTTGAATCGTTGGATTTTCGTCGGCGTGGAGCTATGGCGAGAGTTATTACACGACTGTGTTTGAGTGGAAAGAAGAAACCTAATGATACTCTGACAATTGAGACCAAAGTAACTTCTCTCTGTCTCCTTCTCTTAATTGGACCGTGAACCAAACGAGTTTGAAGACGTTGCAATCTGAACCCGGTTCAGATTGATTGTCCACGTGGCTGACAATTAGGCTTCGATTCGGAATATAATTAAAGGTCAAGTGGGCTATTCTGGATCAGGATGTTCGGATGACTTGGGCTTATTGGAAACCCAACAGTATACTTTCGATAGATGCATATATTTATCATTTGATTTTCTCTATAACATTATTATACTTTTTATACATAACTCCAATTTATCTATATGAATTTTACGTAGATTTACTGATTTAGTTATTTTTGTTCATAGTAAAAAGTTATTATAATGGATGAGGAGGTCAAGAGGTGGTGGCATAAAACCGAAAGATTGGTAAGATACTATTGATGAATGTTAGCCGGCTAGTGTTTAGCGTTAGATGTTTGTATTTGAAATCGTAATGTTATTTTGCTGTTCACCGAGAAGCATAGTTATGTACTTATGTTGTATACTTGTAGTTCCAAAAGCTAGAGAAAAAAAGTGTGGGCGAAAACGTTAAAGCAAAAAAATGTAGGTAAAAATCATCATATGTTTTAATACTCGACATGAGCTTAGGAATATGAGTACGTAAACTCTTACTATGGGACAGTTTATTGTTGTTCTTGTATAGAAGTTGTCATACACAAGCCTCTTGTGAATTCTTGTTAGGAATAAAGGGTTTGTGTCCTAACGCTTTCGTTCCTTACCTTCTTGTGAAACTTGAGGTGGATATAGGTGGCATTAAATCATCACAAGGGAAACAAACTGTATGTTGGTAATCTATGAAAATTGTAAGCAAGACTGTAAAAAAAATTAAAGCAAATAAAGGCACTTTTAGCTGTCATATAACACGGGAATGAAGACACTTGAATAATTCAGAAGAGAAGTCAAAGCCATAGATCTAACTATATATATTCCAGTCCTTCAGTTTTCATTTCTATCCTCATTTGCTCAACAAAGTCATTTTCAAATTGAATATAAAAGGGCGCCGTTATGGCAGTCTCAAATAGTAAATCCGCGTCATTGGCCATAGCATCCGTGTCTCTGTTCATGGTATTGGTTATGTTCGGTCCTATCGCGGTCGAGGCACGTGCTTTTTTCGTTTTCGGCGACTCACTCGTCGACAGTGGCAACAATAACTATTTGGTGACAACTGCACGTGCCGATTCTCCACCGTATGGAATCGATTTTCCAACTCGGAGACCAACCGGCCGGTTTTCCAACGGTCTTAACATTCCAGATCTTATCAGTTACGTTTCCTCATTTAACTCATCAACCGATCTCAAGTAATATTGGTTCAATATTTCGACGAATATACAACTCTTTTTGTCAAAAAGTAATCATGTAAACAATGCACCAAAAAAACATACTAATCCTTGACATATGTATGTGAATTTGACTAATAATTAAATATGGATTGGCTACCATATATTAGGTGAGGCGATCGGCATCGAAGAGCCGCCGTTACCGTACCTAAGTCCAGAACTAAGGGGTCGGAGAATACTTAACGGTGCCAATTTTGCGTCCGCCGGCATCGGAATTCTAAACGATACTGGCTTTCAATTCGTGAGTAATCAAATAGGAATTGAGCTCTAGTTATAATCTTCTCAAATTGTCTGCTTATCTTATATGTATATATATTTTCTGGTATGCAGATAAATATTATAAGAATGTACCAACAACTCGACTACTTCCAACAATACCAACAACGTGTGAGCCGCTTGATTGGGAAACCGCAAACGCAGCGGCTCGTGAGTCAAAGCGTTGTGTTAGTCACGGTCGGTGGAAACGATTTCGTCAACAACTATTTCTTGGTGCCATATTCCGCTAGATCGCGCCAATATGCTCTACCTGACTACGTCCGGTTGCTTATTTCCGAATTCAAGAAAATACTAACGGTAACAACAATCTTATAAAATAAAGAAAACAAATTTTTATTGTATTGAGTTGGTCTTATGCATGGGAACTCCAGACCTTTCACCTTGATTTGATTTTTATTACTGTAATGTTGTGTTGTTATTCGTAGAGGTTATCTTCGCTTGGAGTGAGTCGAGTTATAGTGACTGGAGCTGGACCACTAGGATGTGCACCGGCCGAGTTGGCAAGATCAAGCTCGTCCAATGGGAGATGCTCAGCCGAGCTAGAACGAGCCGCGTCTCTATATGATACTCAGTTGCTTCAAATGATAACCGAACTTAACAGAAAGATTGGGAAAAATGTGTTTATTGCAGCAAACACTAACCAAATGCAAAATGATTTTCTAACCACTCCACGAAGATACGGTAATTTATATTGAGCTTTTCCCTTATATCCAGCTAATCTTTTGGTCGAGGACAAATCTTGTGACAAGTATTTATTTCTGTTGGATTATAGGATTTATAACGTCGAAGGTTGCTTGTTGCGGACAAGGGCCGTACAATGGGATGGGATTGTGTACTATAATATCGAACTTGTGTCCGGACCGAGATTCATACGTGTTTTGGGATGCGTTTCATCCGACCGAGAAAGCAAACCGCATGATCGTCCGTCATATCTTGACTGGAACCACTAAGTATATGAACCCTATGAACCTTAGCTCTGCTCTTGCCCTATGAGCCACACCACACACACATCCCATAATTTAATGTTCAAGTGAAAAATTCCTTTTCGTCTATCTGATTTATGTTCATTTGATTCGCAAGATGTATGAATATCGGACTACCAATTAAGTTCAACTGTTCAAGAAGTGTGGAATAACTCAATTAGTCTGAATTTAACATGTTTCTTTATTTGGTTTTTAACTTTTTATTGGAAAAGTTGTTTTTGATTTGATTTACTTACTAGATATAAAATATTTTTTTTTAGAGATGTATAATTGGTACTTGGTTATTTAGTTTAATTTAAAAATTTGATTTTCATGTTGTAAACGCATGTGGTATATTGTTTCAAATTTGCGATATATTTAAAAAAATACTAATTATGATTTGATAATGTTAAACCAACTCTATTCTAGTACCATGTGTTAACAATTCTAAATTATAACTTCCAAGTTCTAACACATACTTTATGCAAATTATATTATACCAAGAGTTAAAAACAAAAAAACAATGAGAGGAGTCAATATAGGCAGATTTTTTCAGCAAAATATATAACTTTATTTCATTTCTTATACCTAAAAGTAATAAAGTAGTTCAAACATAAACACTAATTCATTTCCTTAATACTGAAATCTAAAAACAATTTATTTTTGGTAACCTAAATATTTGTAACATGATTAGTTAATATAAATATTTGACGTACACAATCCTTCTAAAAGTCTTCCCAGTTTTATGGTAAGGAAACTATGAGCAAGCCAAATTTCCAAAAATGGCCTCAAAAAAAGGATTTCTCGAAGGACTCAAACCTTCTCTGTGGGCAAGAAGTATAAGGTCAATTTCAGGAATATAGAAATAAGTGAAGAAAACTTTGAAATAAAAATCATCCAGATTGAATACAGAGAATCCAGGTTTAGCGCACTGAGATCGATCGAGCGAACGATGATGATTATGAAGATGGGAGAGACGGCGGTTGTTTTGTCGCTGCTCCAGTCGGATCTCCGGCCGATCGAAGAAGTTCTCGCGGAATTCAATTCCAAATTCCCTCGCTCCCGTTACCTCACTGTCTGCTCCTCGCTTTCACTGCTCTTACAGGCATGTTCTCTCTCTCTCTCTCTCTCTCTCTCTCTCTCTCGCTCCCTATTCCTCTTCTTCCTTTGAGCTTCCCGCCGTTGCTCGCCGCCGTGCTCATTTGTAATTGTGTGACACTAGCGAGTTTTGGGGGTTTTTCGATTTTTTTTTTTCACTCGGAAGGATTTGATTTAAATCTAGGGTTTGATTTTTGTAATCGAGGCTTGGTCCTTCGCGATTCTCCTATACTACTCAGTGCTTACTCGAAGCTCGTTTCGTTCTCGTTACACGATATTTTATATGTATAATTTTCATCTTCACATGGTTTGGATATTGAATTCGTGAATGAAAATGGAGTATTCGCTGCTTCAGTCTGATTACAATTTCCTAAGTTTTTGCCTATTGCATAGGCTAGGTTTATAATTTCCATTTCTCAGGTTGTGACTAATCGGAAAATGAAATTTGGTTGAATTTCAGGATCCGATGATACTCCCGGGTACTGATCGTCTGATTGGATTTGCTATCATTTACCATTGTTATTCTTCCAACAAACCATCTGCCAACCCATTTGTATCGGATATGATAAATGTAAGCGGCTTACAATACTCCTTGAAGCTAATTTTGTAAGTGATGTGTTGATTATGAGGTATCTATGTCTCTTGCAGGCTGCTTGTAACGAGCAAGTAGAGAAGTATGAGAGAGCATTTCTTCTCCACCTGTTGCAATGGAATAATTACCTCAATGCTAAAGAGGTAAACATATAGCTGCACGTATAGCTGTTGTCTTGACCTGTTTGCTTGCTTCGTTTTTTTGCTAAATTCTATGTAAATTCCGATTTTTTTGCTCAATTGTTTCTCTAAAGCATGTAGATATGTACTCAATGATCTCGTGATGTATAATACTCTTGTGGACAGTGTTCAATATTTTGATGTTTTGTTGAGATATCTATCCAATATTTGAGGATATGGTTTAGAGCTATGATTTCTAAAGGTCCTATACAATTCTCTTTTCGCATTTACTCTCTAAGATTATAATTTTCTGGGTTCAGTTATCGTTGTCATAGTCAATCCAGGAGTAGTGTAAGGCATATGCTAAGGCTACTTTGTTTTGCATATTATTTTCATGTCCTGATTTGAATAATTTTATGATCTCTGTGACCTGTGGATTACTAATTTACTATTCATGATCAATTAAAATAACTATACTTTGCTCTCATGCAGATTCTCAAACAGTCAGCTGTTGATTATATCAAATCGTTTGATCCTTCAACTCATGTAAGAGCGGTTCACGCATAGACATCTAATGTTCTAGTTATATCTCTACTCCATCTTATCTTAATCATAACTGTTCCTTTACTATGCGTACCGCTACTTGAAGAACAATTTTTTTTTGTTTGTTCTGGTTAGTGATTTAGTATGCTGATGTTCTGTCAGGATTTTCCGGAGCTAGGAGAGCTGCAGCGAGAGTATGGCAAAGCCAATCCTGGACCATCTAGTCACATTTTTGCAGACAATGCCCTCAAAAAGCTATTGCATGATCCTGATGTTCCTCGTGGGTGTGATCCTAACTCTCCAGAGTAAGTAACCTATGAGCTAGCAGATTCCCTTTTTATTTTCCGTAACTGTTATGCACATTTGAATCATGACTTAATACTCGCAAGCTTCCAGATTTCTGCCAAGCTTGATTTTTCTGTGTTATACTATCACGTGCCAATTTCGAGTTGATTTTATGGATGATCTTTTAGTCATATAATCGTTTAGGTTTGATGTGCAACCTGGAGGGAATTCCAAAATTGGATCTGGTGATAGAAATGAGGCCCTACCTGGAATATTGGGAAAATTGACAACTGGGGGATTAACTCCTAGGTGGATCCGCCCATGTCCTCCGAGGTACCCAGTTCATCAGAGCGAGGTAAGGCTAAGGTTAACTCATTAAATACTGGTTAAGCAAACTATATAACTACCTAAATGGTTCAACTTCTTACAGTTTATTTGGATTGATCCTGATAACAAGCATGAGCTTATTTGGGACGATAAAATGTGTGCTGATACTAGCAGAGGCGCAACAGTCAGAGACTTGCTTGTTAAGGCTTTGAAGGTGACAGTTCCACCAGCGGAGCAAGAGGTATATTGCTTTTTAGTCCCTGAGATGTGTATAAAGTCATACAAGTAGTGTCCTTCTCTTAGGATATCAATTAATTGCTTTAACACTGATAAGTGAGCATAGGAATGGGACAGTAACTACATGTGCACAAATTTTTTACATACTCTACTTTTGAGAGAGAAGTCGTGCTATCACTTTCTTACTTTCTCATTGGATTGAAAGATCTAGTAGCTCCCACTAGTAGATTAAGAGAGAACTGATTGCAGTAAGAGTTTATTGGAAATAACCATCGCAATAGATAAAATAGCGATTGTGATTGTTTAATTTATCAACCTTGCCCATACATCTGTATCAATTTTGACATCTTGGATCTTTTGAGTGAAGTAAACAATAAATTTGTTCATTTGCTGGCCAGGACATCATTACAGAATTGACAAATGACACAAAGTTTGTCTATCACTGTGGAATAACTCCAGGGAAGCTGCCGGTATGAGATTTCATTATCTGCCATTTTTTTTTTTCTCTCTGTTATCGTCTTTCCTATAATGTGATCTGTTTTCTTATCTTCAGCAATTAGTAGAGCACAATCCTCAAATAGCAGTTGAGATTCTCATCAAGCTGAATAACACCAAAGAGGTTAATGCGTAAGTCATCATCACTTTATCAGTTCCACTATTTTACACTCTAAAAAAACAATAGAAACAGTATAAAGTGGGAAATCTGAGAAATGCTTGCGCAGCTATTATGATGCTCTTGTAGATATGGACATGAGCCTGCACTCAATGGAAGTTGTGAATAGGCTCACAACTGCAGTTCCGCTTCCGAAGGAGTTCTTACGTTCGTACATCACTAGTTGCATATCGTCTTGTGAAAACGCCAAGGTATTAAAAACACAAAGCTCTCTTTTGTTATCTTAGAGCAAAGCTTTTTCTATGCAGCTATAGCATCATCCTGTAATCATGTGTTATAAATACCTGTGCTCGTGCTCCGACGTTTTTATGCTTTTGTGTATATATCTCTGGATATGTTGGTTTACAGTTTGCTCATTTCTTCTTCCATTTGGTTGTTTCTTTAACTTGTATTGTTTTTCGATATGTAGCAGCAAGACAAATACATGCAGAATAGGCTTGTACGACTTGTTTGCGTCTTCTTGCAAAGTTTGATTCGCAACAACATCATCGACGGTATGTGTATTCTCATCTTCTTGTTTTCTGACTGATTGCTATCAACTTTGGTATTTTGCCAGTTACACTCAAAGAAAGATCAATAGAGACACTCACAAGAGGAATCTATTGTCTATAACTATGCTTTCAAAATCTATGAGTCGGGTATATATAATGTGTTTTGATAAAATGAATCTGTTTTTTGTTTTGCTGGTTGATGGAACAGTGAAGGATCTATTCATTGAAGTGCAAGCTTTCTGCATCGACTTCTCGCGGATTAGAGAAGCAGCTGGTCTCTTCAGGCTCTTGAAAACATTGGATTGATAATTTACTCTTTTCTTCTTCTTCTCCTTCTTCTCATCATGTTCTTCTTTTGTTTTCGATTTTTCCTTTTGTAGCTAAAAAAATTGCATTTTGAATCCATGACAGTTCTCGTTTTTCTAGAGTTTTATTTTCTTAATTATGAGTTTTTGACGAAACATTTTCGTTTAGACTAAAAATGTATCAGGAGACACAAGACGACATGGCCTTTCCTTAGGCTACCAACACTTAACCCGGAACGGTTTATGCTTTAACCGATGATACTACCAAATGCTGACTCTGATCGGGATTGCATTTTTATTTGTTTTCTGCGTGTTGGATAAAGACATTTTAATATTTTTCCAGTATAAGAAATGCTTGAGGTTAACGGAATCGCCAATCGGTATAGAAATATTTGGTTGTCATCAAGTTTGCTTCATAGATAAGACACAAATGTAATGCTTCGTCTCAAAGCGTTGATATGTAAAAGTAAAACTAGACTATTCGTAAAAGAATCATAATCAAAAACATCATATGCTAACAAATAGTTTCGAAAAGTAAAGTGCCCAAAACCATTTTCCCTTTAGATTGCTGCCAGTGTAGAATTCGAAGATTATTCACTACTCAAATACATAAGATGAAAATTACGTTATATCAATAGTGTATTGAATTAATACGATTGCAATAAACAAAATTAATTTAGTAAAAGACAAATATTTGTAATAAATTGTTTTCGTAAAAGGTAGAAAAGATGAACACTAGTCGCGATTTCAACGTCGAGTCGAGAGGACCGAAAAAGAAACATTTATTTTCTTCATTTGTTTAGAGAGAAGAAAAAGAAAATGAAAGCTTCCAACTTCGAGAAATATTTGGTTCAGACAGAGTACTCGGAATTTCTCGATCTCGGTCTATAAAGAATCAGAACAAAAGCCGAATCGACTGTCTTTAAGTAAGTAGTAAGTAGTAACAACTTCCGTCTCCATTGTTGTTGGGTAAGAACCGCAAAGTTGAAAGCTTTCCCCTTCAGTCGCCGATGTTGTTTCCGGCTGCTAATTGCTTCTTCTCCTGATTTTTCCAGGCGAGTCGTCGACAGACGACAATGGCGGTTCCTGTAGAGGAAGCAATCGCAGCCCTTTCCACATTCTCGTTAGAGGTAACTGCGATGTTGAAAATTTCGGTTAAATTTAGAAATTGTCTTTGTCTTGGATCATTTACCTTCTTTCCTATTTTTAGCGATCTTTGACTATAATGTGTCTTTCGGGAGTTCAATTTCAGAAATTTGACTAGAAAAGAGTAGAATTGTTGTTTCTTCATTTTCCCAACCATTTGTTTATCACCTATTTAATTGCGGATCTTCGATAAGCCTCGAAAAATTTATTGCCTAGTCAGTAAAATAGGTGTCAGTAGAATGCTGAAAATTTAAGTATCTTCTTGAAATTTTGGAGTTAGTGTTGCAAATTTTCTTGAAGCATTTTGAATTTTGTTATTTGGGGAAATGTTAGGATGAGCAACCAGAAGTCCAAGGACCGGCTGTGATGGTTTCAGCCGAAAGAGCAGCAACCGATAGTCCCATCGGTTTGTTTCTTTTACTTCTCTTTTTTTCACTCTTTTAGCATTAAAAGAAAACTGATTTTCTTGAGATTGGTGGTTTTGTAGAGTATAGTGATGTTGCGGCATACCGGCTGTCTCTATCAGAAGACACAAAAGCTCTTAACCAGCTGGTATGTGTCTCTCTCTCTCTCTTCTTCTTTTGCATTATTTTGTGAAGGATGTTTGAATTAAGATTTGATAGCTACATTCTTGTTTTGTACATTTGAATGCAGAATACGCTTATACAAGAAGGAAAAGAGATGGCGTCAATTCTATACACGTATAGAAGTTGCGTCAAAGCTCTGCCTCAGGTCCATCTTTGATTCTGCTTGTGAAATCAGTTATTGTTGTATTTACCTCTTTTATAATACATTACTAATGATATATGTGCAGCTTCCCGATTCTATGAAGCATAGTCAAGCAGATCTGTATCTAGAAACATATCAAGTTTTGGACTTAGAAATGAGTCGTTTGCGGGAAATTCAGAGATGGCAAACGTCCGCTTCAGCTAAAGTGCGGCGCATTTCCTTTCCAACTCTTTTTATTTTAATTCCTGCATGAGAAGTAATTTTCCTGTATGCTCTGTGTCTGCTGCAGTTAGCTGCTGATATGCAGCGGTTTTCCAGACCTGAACGGCGGATCAATGGCCCCACAGTTACGCATCTCTGGTGAGTTATAATCTTTCTTTAAAGTTTTATATACATCCTCAAACATTTAACCACTCCTTGTGTACATAATCTAACAGTGGTTTTACTTAATATAGGTCAATGCTAAAGTTGCTTGATGTCTTGGTTCAGCTTGATCATCTGAAAAATGCTAAAGCTAGCATTCCTAATGATTTCTCTTGGTATAAAAGGTAAAAGATGTTCTAATGTAGGTAGATAGGACACTTGAATGTTGGTAGATCTGTGGTCATTACTATTTACTTCTGCTAATAACACTTTCTTTTAAAAGTCGAAGTAGTTTCAATAGAGGCTTCTCTGTTAGCTTCTTTTCTTAATATAGTTGCACTCTTTTCAGAACATTCACTCAAGTCAGTGCCCAGTGGCAAGATACGGATACAATGAGAGAAGAATTAGATGACTTGCAGGTTTTTGCACGGCTTGTTTATGGAATCATTTCTTAGTGCCTTCTTTTGATAATCGCCATTAATGAAATGAACTCTTATGTATGCAGATTTTCCTGAGCACAAGATGGGCTATTTTGCTCAACTTGCATGTTGAGATGTTTCGTGTGAACAAGTATCCTTTATTCTAGATAACTATCATCGTAGTCCTCAACATATAGTTCTTACAATGACACCTTGTTACTATATTTCAACCTTTTGGATTCCTTAAAGTAAGTTTAGCGTGGAAGACATTCTCCAAGTTCTCATAGTCTTCATCGTTGAGTCTCTGGAACTGGATTTCGCGCTCCTTTTTCCTGAGCGGTATATTCTTCTCCGGGTCTTGCCCGTTCTTGTTGTCTTAGCAACACCGTCTGAGAAAGATACCGAGGCTTTATACAAGAGGGTAAAGCTCAACAGACTGATCAACATCTTCAAGGTATTGAACTTCATGCTAATACCTGTTCAAGTTTCGCTACCAATATATACCTCAAAACCGCATTTCCAACTTGCTAAATTGAAATCTTTGTTGTGTGTTTTGGTTATCAGAATGATCCTGTCATTCCTGCGTTTCCAGATCTCCATCTTTCTCCTGCTGCAATTTTGAAAGAACTGTCTGTATACTTTCAAAAGTTTTCGTCGCAGACTCGCCTTCTGACTCTTCCAGCACCTCATGAGCTCCCTCCACGTGAAGCTCTGGAATATCCTTTGATATGTGTTCTGTTACGTGCCTATTTAACTATGATCTTGGTTATCTTGCAAGCCTTAACATATTTTTACGTATCAGAGGCACTATTTGATAGTTAACCACATTGGAGCCCTCCGTGCTGAGCACGACGATTTCACAATCCGATTTGCTTCATCCATGAATCAGGTGCTCAAGCTATTACTTTCCATGGAGTTCCGGTTTTCTTGCTCTTATCTTGAGTCTCTAAGGATGTTGTTCTCACTTTACTTTTCATGCAGTTATTGCTCTTGAAGTCAAATGATGGAGCATATACTGAATGGTGCAGAGAGGTCAAAGGGAACATGTACGATATGGTTGTTGAAGGTTTCCAACTGTTAAGCAGATGGACTGCTCGCATTTGGGAGCAATGTGCTTGGAAATTCTCTCGCCCGTGTAAGGATGCAACAGAGACACAAGAAGCCTCCGGATCGTATTCTGATTACGAGAAGGTAATACTTGTGAAATATTTGAACAATTTTCTCTGTTCATGGTAACAAGTGATTAATTCTTTTTATTAGGTGGTGAGGTACAATTATACTGCAGAAGAAAGGAAAGCCTTGGTAGAACTTGTTGGCTATATAAAGAGTGTAGGATCGATGCTGCAGCGGTGCGACACATTAGTTGCAGATGCTTTGTGGGAGACAATACATGCTGAAGTTCAAGATTTTGTACAAAACACATTAGCTACAATGCTGCGTACCACCTTCCGAAAGAAGAAAGATCTCTCGAGGTGAATAGCTCTCCTTTGTTTTCTGTCCATCTCAACTCATATTACCATAAGTTTACGCTTTTCATATTGTTAACTGTTTGTCAATTTGTAAATTGCTTTCAGGATTCTTTCAGATATGCGGACACTTTCAGCTGACTGGATGGCAAATACCAGGCCCGAACATGAGATGCCATCTTCACAACATGGAGGTGATGAGAGCAAAGGGAACTTCTTTTATCCGAGGCCAGTTGCCCCAACAGCAGCACAGGTTTGGTTCTGTTTCAAGATTATTTTGGATACCAAAACGGATGGTAAGAACCAGAGCTTAAACTTCTTGATGTTTTGTTTGTTTCAGGTGCATTGCTTGCAGTTTTTGATATATGAGGTTGTCTCTGGTGGGAATCTGAGGAGGCCAGGGGGATTCTTTGGAAATAATGGCTCTGAGATTCCTGTTAATGACTTAAAGCAATTGGAGACTTTCTTTTACAAACTCAGCTTTTTCCTGCATATATTGGATTATTCTGGTAAATCCACATGCTTAAATGTCTTTTTGGTTAGTTTTATGATAATCATTAGCTTTGTAAGCTGACTCTTCAACTTCGATCCATGATGGCTGCAGCAAGTATTGGAATATTGACTGATCTCGGGTTCGTGTGGTTTAGAGAATTTTACCTGGAGTCTTCACGTGTTATTCAGGTAAGTGGCAATATGAAAAAGGCTATAGACAGTTTTTGCTCCTTTGTTACTTGTGCTTATTAATAGCTCTATGTTCACTATTTTCAGTTCCCGATTGAATGTTCACTACCATGGATGTTGATAGACTACATTCTTGAAGCCCAGAATTCAGGCCTTCTTGAGAGTGTTCTGCTGCCTTTTGATATTTATAATGATTCAGCTCAACAAGCTCTGGTTGTTCTGCGGCAGAGATTCCTCTATGATGAAATTGAGGCTGAGGTAATTAGAGTTTAATACCGATATCAACAGCCATAAGTTTACAGGTCTTTTTGAATAAAAAAGGTTCCTTGAACAATTGTTTTTCTTTTTCTTGTATCCTGTCTTGTTTCTGTAGGTGGACCATGGTTTTGATATATTTGTTTCAAGACTCTCCGAGTCTATATTCACATACTACAAGAGTTGGTCCGCAAGGTACCTAATTACTTAGTTTTGTGTTAATATATATATATCCCCTTTCACTGTTAACAAATGATGAGCTTAACCTTTTTATCATCAATTTTTGAGTTCAACAGTGAGCTTCTTGATCCATCATTTCTTTTTGCCTTGGACAATGGTGAAAAGTTCTCCATCCCGCCTGTGAGGTTTACTGCGTTATTTAAGATGACAAAAGTGAAGGTGAATAATCATACTGCTCTCATTTTCTGGTTGGATATTTATAGAGAAAGTCACAACTAGTTGAATTTTAAGCTTCACTGTTATGATATAGTTTCAAGCATTGGATCTTATTATGTGTGGCTTGGCATGTTCTTACAATCTTCTTACTTATTTTTTGTTGTGATGTGCAGCTACTTGGGAGAACAATTAATCTAAGAAGCCTGATCGCTCAAAGGATGAACAAAATCTTTAGAGAGAATCTAGAGTTTCTCTTTGACCGTTTTGAGTCACAGGACCTATGCGCTGTAGTGGTAAGTTTTTAACTTATTTTCTCTAACTCTTTCTGCATTAGCATAGCTTTTATTAATAAACAAAGTGGATCGTTTCCTCAAGTGTAGGAACTGGAGAAGCTTATTGACATCCTAAAGCACTCGCATGAATTGCTTTCACAAGACCTCTCCATAGATCCTTTCAGCATAATGTTGAATGAAATGCAAGAAAACATTTCTCTCGTCTCATTTTCCAGTCGACTCGCTACACAGGTCAGGCCTATAATACATGAAGGAAATAAATTTTGAGTCTATTTTTCCCACCTTTTCCTAATCTTCTTTTTTTGTTTTCTGTCTATAGATTTGGTCAGAAATGCAGAGTGACTTCCTACCAAACTTCATTCTTTGCAATACCACACAGCGGTTTGTTCGATCATCCAAAGTTCCTCCTACTCAGAAACCATCAGTTCCTTCTGCTAAGCCTAGTTTCTACTGTGGCACTCAAGTAACGATCAATCTCTTAAGACATTTTTTACTTTTCATTGGTTCCAAAACCATCTCTTACTAAACATTTGATTTCATATTAGTGCCTTCTTCGTGTTTTTATTGGTCTCATCTTATATCTTTGATTTTTGTTTGTGTGTGTGGTAGGACTTAAATGCAGCGCATCAAAGTTTTGCACGATTGCATAGTGGATTCTTCGGAACACCACATTTATTTTCAATAGTGAAACTTCTTGGATCCAGATCATTGCCTTGGCTTATAAGAGCTTTGCTGGATCACATATCGAATAAGGTATCTGCACATTCTTGTACCAAATTTTCCTTTCACCTCCGTGCTAATTATACAAGGAGACAGCTAAAATATTTCTGATGTTTAAAACTTTCAGATAACAACACTCGAGCCAATGATCTCTGGATTGCAAGAAGCGTTGCCAAAGTCGATTGGATTGCTTTCTTTTGATGGTGGTGTCACAGGTTAATGACCAGTTTCAGTATCATCGACATGTTTCAATTCTGTGTGTTGTATATATTTCTTGATCACCAATGCTTTCATTTACAGGTTGTATGAGGCTTATCAGAGAACAACTAAACTGGGGCACAAAGTCAGAACTCAAAACAGAAGTTTTACGAGGAATAAAGGAAATTGGAAGTGTGATATATACAATGGGACTTCTCGATATCGTATTGGTCAGTCCCATCAGACAGATTGTGAAAAACTTAAAGATTAAAAAGTCTAGTGATTTAGTCTTAACAATTTTTTGTTTACGCAGAGAGAGGTAGACACAAAGCGTTTCATGCAAACAGCTCCATGGCTAGGATTAGTTCCAGGCGCTGAAGGACAGATAGTTAATGCTCAAGACGGCGAAAGCCCTCTTGTCAATCTCTTGAAATCAGCAACTTCTGCGGTTGTGTCAGAACCTGGTTGTCTTAATCCAGCAGCGTTCTACACCATGTCCAAACAGGCAGAAGCTGCGGATCTTTTGTATAAGGCAAACATGAACGGTGGAAGCGTTCTTGAATACACACTTGCATTCACAAGTGCGTCGCTCGACAAATATTGCAGTAAATGGAGTGCTCCGCCGAAGACAGGCTTCATCGACATTACAACTTCAAAGGACTTCTACCGCATTTACGGTGGTCTTCAGATCGTAAGCAAAACCAAAACCATATTTTGAAATCTTTATTAACATTTCTTCTATCCTCTCAATTCTCATTGTTTTTTTTTGCTATGGAACTCAGGCATATCTGGAGGAGACAACAGTTCAACAACAAGCTCAGCAAGAAGTCCTCGGTGATTCAATAGCTTGGGGAGGTTGCACCATCATATATTTGCTCGGACAGCAACTTCACTTTGAGCTTTTTGATTTCTCGTACCAAGTACTCAATGTCTCTGAGGTTGAAACTGTGTCTGCTTCACATACTCATCGGAATCCTCAAGTTCTGCAGGTAGAGTTTTGCTTTCTCCATCATTTCATGAACACTATCTTTGTTTTCTCTATTTTGAATTGTCATTTTTGTTGCTGTGTAAGAAAGGGATGGGAAGGTTTGTTGGAAGGGATGAAGAAAGCTCGAAGGCTGAACAACCATGTCTTCTCCATGCTTAAAGCTCGTTGTCCTCTTGAAGACAAAACGGCTTGTGCCATCAAACAGAGCGGAGCACCGTTGCCACGTGTCAGGTTTGAGAATACTGTGTCTGCGTTTGAGACTCTGCCACAAAAAGGTACTGTTGGCTGATGTGATGTGCACTCAAGAACCATGGCGTTCGTAATAACCATGTTTCCACCTTTCTTGTGGGCGAAGTAACATTTCTTGCTTATGCAAACTGTAATTTGTTTTTAGAACGTTGAAGATGTTATGGCTTGCCTTGAAATATAGATAATTGTTTATCTTCTAAAACTATTTGTTTTTTTTTTTATCGCTACATCATATATATGTTGACCTTGTCATATGATAAATGATGATCTACCGTCTACAACGATCTTCAACGTAGAAACAAAACATAAATCTCTAATATCAGTGTATGAGAAAGAAGTTGGAGAGATGCAATCGAGGAAGTAACTTTGAGTGCGCAGTTTGCACTTTGCAACAAAAGTCGTAATTTCGGCTTAATGCTCTAATTACGAATTTACGATTACAAATTACAATTTTTATTTTATAGTATTCAGATTTAATTACATTCAGACATTTTGACCGAGGCGTAAAGTCATAAAACCCGGTTTGACCAAACCGCCTTATAGCAGAACCGAATAAAAGCAGGAGTCGCCGAGTCGGTGAGATAAATTTATAAAATACAGAGGAGAGAGAGAGAGAGAAAACGTCAGAAGATTTGATTTCTCTTTATTTTACAGGGAGAGAGATTTTAGGGTTTTTGGGTATCTCGCGAGGTTTTACAGAGATTTCCAATACGGTGAGCTTAGAATTTTGTTGTTTTCAGCTCAATTTACTTTCTGAATGTTCCCCAAATCGATTTTTGTTTCGCTGTAATCTTTTCGACTCGCATGCATTTCGTTTCGTGCTTAAACCTATAAAATTTTCACTCTGTGTTTGATTGGGAGAATCGTTGATTAGTTTCTTCTATTAATTCAATTGCATGTCGTATGAATTTCGAGCTGAAGGTCTGTCGTTTAGCCTCAGTATCTGTGGAATTTTCTATTCGAATTTGAGTTTTCAATTTTTTTTTAATGTTTTGGTTTTTGTAGGATTCGATGGCGACTCAAACGACTGTTTTGGCTGTGACGGATGATGTGGTGTTTCCGATTAGCTCTGTTCTAACTCTAATGAAAGAGCTCGGAAAGTTTGGAACTGAAAGTTGTGATCCTCTGATTATAACTCAAGCATCCACAATAAGTAAATCTCACATACTCTTTACTTTCTGGTTATTCAGTTAGCATATGGTTTATCTGGGAATATACGTAGAGATGAATATTATTCGTGTCTATACCATAGAGAGTGTATGCGGTGTCTTCTTTCTCATTATGTTGTTGGACTATTTGATCATTTTGCAGACCAGTTTCCTTTGGATTCATCCTCGGTGGACGCAGTTTTAGCTGTTTCCAGAACATCTGATTTTCCCAGTGATAAAATCTATGGTGAGCTTTCAAGAATGTTGAAGCCAGGTGGCTCTGTTTTCGTGTGCACGAATTTGGAGGGTGAAACTGGAGAACCGCAACAGGTTTGTGCTGTGTATTTTTTGTATAGAATGAGGTTTCTTTGATCTGTTCTTGCTTAATCTTATAGCATCTTCCTTGCAGAACCTTCAAAGGAGAGTGACGTTGGCTGGTTTTCTGGAGCCACAGTCTCTTGATTTGAAATCAGTTGTGTTATCTAGGTTCAGCTTATCCTTTGGGGTGAGCACTTTTACAATGTCCTCTCTTTCTTCCCTGTTTCAATATGAGATTACGTTTGCTCTTGTCCATCAAGCTTATTCCTAGCCTTTTGTCTCATCCCTATAACAGAGAAACATATTGTCAAATGCAGATTAAGGCAAAGAAGCCTTCATGGAAGATTGGTTCATCTTTTGCTCTCAAAAAGCCTGCAAAGGCTTTCTTGAAGGTTAATCTAGACGATGACTTGGATCTTATAGATGAAGATTCTCTTTTGACAGAGGAGGACTTGAAGAAGCCACAACTTCCTGTTGGTAATTAAAGACAACCACATAACCTTTCTTATAATCTTATCCTTGTTTGTTCCTCTTGTATAACATAACCTGCTCTGTTTTGCAGCCAGCGGTTGTGAGACCACTAAAAAAGCTTGCAAGAACTGCGTCTGTGGTAGAGCGGAAATAGAGGAGAAAGCTGTGAAGCTGGGCCTGACAGAGGATCAAATCGAGAATCCACAGTCATCATGTGGCAGTGTAAGCTTCTTTACCCATCTCTGTCTCCATATTCATTTGATTTTTTGGTTTTCACAAGACTGAAAAATTCTCCAACAATGCTATCAGTGTGGACTCGGTGACGCCTTCCGCTGCGGTACATGCCCTTACAAGGGTCTCCCAGCCTTCAAACTAGGCGAGAAGGTAAAACCAGACTCCCTTACATCAGTCTTCATTATAAATTCTTGTAAATCCTTTTTGAAGAATACAATCTAAGCATGTCACTTGTCTTCCTCTATAGGTATCCCTCTCAAAAAACTTCCTTGACGCTGACATATAAGCCTCTGGAAGATGCATCTTCATGCATGCTTGTTTCTCACCGAGGCCGAAACCTTCTGCTAATCACAGAGTAGTTTCATCATATTATTCACTTTGTGTTCCTTTCGTATATTTTGTTTGTTGGTACTTTTTTTGAATTCCTGGCTCTAAAAGGCTTATAGATGATTGTCATTGTTGCTCACCAAACACATTGGAACCTCAAGTATCAATGAATAACAGCTTTGCCTATTTGGTTTCTCAAAAGTATCTGAGTAAGATTTGCTCTAATCAAACAACCATACAACAAAATGACTCAAAAGCATTTTAACATAACAGTAACTATCAAACTCCTCTAAGCTGAACTTCCAACTGCTCTATTCGCATAGCCAAATCATGCTTCCCGCTATTCTTCAACCCATCAGTCACCATATCAAAGCACCTTGATATCGGAACCAAACCCATCTCCGTCATCTCAACCAAGTAATTAGCTGCGTCCACGAACTTCCCACCACGGCCACACATCGTTATCAGCATCGTGTAAACCGGCCTGTTAGGCGGATGAGCCTTCACCTTCATGTCACTGAAAAAGCTAAACGCATCATCAAACATCCCATTCCTACACATTCCCTTGATTATCGGAGCATACAAACTCGGAAACGGCTTATGCCCATCTTCCACACAACTGTTCAGCAACCGAAACGCTTCATCGATCTTCCCAATCTTTGAAACCGCAGGTATAAGCGTCTTGTAAGTGTCGATATCTACGCAAAGACCTAACTTGCAAGCAGTGTGATACATCTCAATGCAGAAATCAACTTCTCCTGATTTCGTTATCGCTTCGATCAGAGTGTTGAAAGTTTGGATATCAGGAACAAAGCCTCCTTTGGTCATCTTGTTCACCATCTCTTTAGCTGACTCCAAGTATCCTGCGTTTAACAATCCTTCAATGAGCAAATCACGGCCACGAGCCGGTGGGTTAAACCCTTTCCTGCTCATTTCGTCGAGAAACTCTTGAGCCTCCTTCATTTTTCCGGCGGAGCACCATCCGTTAACCAAGATAGAGTATGTTCGTTTATCCGGCTTGAGACCTTTCCTTATCATCCGTCGGATCAATGCGTAAGCGCCGTGGAACATTTTCACATCGCAGAGTGCGTGGAGCAAGGAGTTGTAAACGTCGACGGTTTGCTGGCATTTGAGAGTTTTGGGGACGCCGTTGAAGAGCTCCACGGCTTGATCTACGTGGCCGTTTTTGCCGTATTGCTCGATGATGAAGCAGAGAGTCTCGCCGGAGATGTCGAGAGAGAGATCCTTCATCTGTTTGAGGATCTTCCACATCGATTCGTATTTCTTATGCGAAGCTAAGGATTTTGCAAGCTGTTCGTATTCTATGGACGTTGGGGTGTAAGTAGGGTTGGATCGAGCCCAATTGAAGAATCGGAGGGAGTCGTTGGAGGAACGGGCGGTGGCGCGGAGGACTCTGAACACGAATTCGGAGGTTACAGGGAGACGGAGACGATTTAGGGATCTCTCCGGGTGAACCTCGCGGCGGACGATGTTGACGACGTGGTTGATCGCGGCGAAGTAATCGCCTTTGGTTGGAGTCGAATCGGAGCTCTGCAAAGGCTCGAGACTGGTGAAATGGCGATTAGTAGATTCAATGGAAGCTCTGAAATCGGTGGTGAAGATTGAAAAGAGTCTTCCGCCGGTACTACGCCGGAGGTGGAACATTTCTCACCGGGAAAATTTTGCCGATGAGTCGAGCAGAGACTGATATAAATTCCAGTGACGTGGAATATTATTTTATTATTAATTTTGTTTTACTCCATTAGTTTATCAGTTAGGAAACGCAGCGTTTAATAGAGGAAGCCCTAGCTCTATTTTGTTAGTATAAAACCCTATATTTCTCTTTCGTCTCCCACTCTCTGCATTAGGTTTCATTTTAGCGGCTGACACGAGCAGAAGCAGAAAAAGCCCTAACCATGGCAACCAAATCGCCTGTTGAATCGGTGCAATGCTTCGGAAGGAAAAAGACGGCAGTGGCCGTGACCCACTGCAAGCGTGGGTCAGGTATGATTAAGCTCAACGGTTCCCCAATCGAGCTTCTCCAGCCAGAGATCCTCCGATTCAAGGTGTTCGAGCCAGTGCTTCTCCTCGGAAAGCACCGTTTCGCCGGTGTCGACATGAGGATCCGTGTCAAGGGTGGAGGTCACACTTCCCAGGTCTACGCCATCCGTCAGAGTATCGCGAAGGCTCTCGTTGCTTTCTACCAGAAGTATGTGGACGAGCAGACGAAGAAGGAGATCAAGGATATCTTGGTCCGTTACGACAGGACCTTGCTTGTGGCGGATCCGAGGAGGTGCGAGCCGAAGAAGTTTGGTGGACCTGGTGCTCGTGCTCGTTTCCAGAAGAGTTACCGTTAAATCGGGTTTGTTTTTTATTTCAATTTCGATCATCGCAAGGTTTTTGGAGTAATGAGTATGAACTTGTGAGACCTAGATTTTCATTTTCAGTTTTTTTAATGTTTATTGGTTACTCCTAAAGAACTATGTATTGCTTTGTTTGCCAGTTTGCTATCTTAAAAGTTCTTATTTTTATCAATCGGTTTATGGTATGGTATTTGCATAGTTGGACCAATGGTTTAGTCATTTCTCCTTATAATCTGCATTTGCGTTGAAATGTTTCGGCTCTTTGTTGAGTTAATGAGAAGGTTGTGGCTTGATGATGTGACTGAGCTATAATTGATCAGAAACCTGTGTTCTTTCTGTAAACGATTAAAGTCTTTCAAACAATTTAGGAGTCTAAATTTTACCCTTAGTGTATGTTTTCCCTGAGTAGACTGAATGTAAGCACAGAAATGCAACAACAGATCAATGAACTCTCTGTGAACTTCGAATAGTGATCAATAGAGATCTTTGGGAACCAACTTTTCAATCCTCTCTTGTTGCTTTGAAAGCATTTCATATCGCTTCAAGTGACTGAAACTCATTGATAATTTTACAAACAATCTTCAGTCTCTTATGATTGTTAAACGTCGTTTTCTCGATCTAAAATATAACTCGAGAGAATCATAGCCACTTATCGCAAAATGTTATTTTTCTAAATTATAATGTGTTCCCAAGGCTTAGTCAAAAGTAGAATGAAACAAAACCCCAAAAAGTCAACCTTCTCGATGTGCAAAGCGTGTCTCAAGTCTTCACCCAACATTTGCAGAGGATAAGCCAATTTAAAGCTCAGAGGCGTATGATCATCTTTCAAGATCTGCAAACTTTTTTTTTTTTTTTTGGTAAAATTAAGATCTGCAAACTTACCCTTCCAACTAAACAAGAGATCTTGTTACTATTTATCATCACTCATGTCACTTTCTTCATCTCTGTCATTAAATTCAAGTCACTGGAGACACCATGTGTTCCCAAGCTTCAGCGGCAAAGACGTTCGCAGAACATTTCTCAGCCACCTTCTCAAGGAGTTCCGGCGAAAGGGAATCCGCACGTTCATAGATAATGATATCAAGAGAAGCCAAATGATCGGTCCTGAGCTCGAGCAAGCTGTCAGAGAATCTAGGATCGCTGTTGTAGTGTTGTCTCAGACCTACGCATCTTCAAGCTGGTGTTTGGATGAGCTGGTTGAGATAAAGAGAGTCAATCCAAAGATCATACCGGTTTTCTACGAGGTGAGTCCATCTGATGTGAGGAAACTAAGGGGAGAATTTGGAGAGGCGTTTGAGGAAGCATGTGAAGGAAAACCAGAGGAAGTGAAGCAAAGATGGAGAGAAGCTTTGGTCTATGTGGCTAATATAGCCGGCGAGTCTTCTCAAAACTGGTTAGTTGTTCTGATTCCGTTAAGCAATACTCTGCTTCACATGAATGAATTTGAATTCTTGGTTAGTTTAGTGCGATGATCTGGTGAACGCAATCATTTTTCTTCTTGATAGGGACAATGAGGCAGATATGATTGAAAAGATTGCTATGAGCATTTCGAATGAGTTGAATTCAACACCGTCACAAGCTTTCGATAATCTGGTTGGAATCGATGCTCATATGAGAGAGATGGAATCTCTGTTGTGTCTAGAATCAACTGAAGTGAAGATGGTTGGAATTTGGGGTCCTGCAGGTATTGGCAAGACAACCATTGCCAGAGCTTTGTTCAGGAGGCTCTCTGAAAACTTCCAACACACTATTTTTATGGAGAATGTGAAAGGAAGTCACTGGAGATCGGAATTAGACGGTTATGGCTTCAAGCTCCGTTTGCAAGAACATTTTCTATCTGAAGTTATTGATCATAAGAATATGAAGATACATGATTTAGGTTTGGTGAAGGAAAGATTGCAAGATCTGAAAGTTCTTGTTGTTCTTGACGATGTTGATAAGCTAGAACAACTTGATGCTTTGGTGAAACAAGCTCAGTGGTTTGGTTCTGGAAGTAGGATCATCGTCACCACGGAGAACAAACAGCTTTTGAGAGCTCATGGGATCAAGCTCATTTACGAGCTGAGTTTTCCATCAAGAAGCGATTCTCTTCAGATTTTCTGCGAATCTGCGTTTGGACAAAGCTCTGCTCCAGATGGTTGTTCCGAGCTCGCTACTGAAATAACAAAGCTTTCTGGCTATCTTCCTCTAGCTCTCAAGGTTTTGGGGTCGTCTGTGAGAGGGATGAACAGAGATGAGCAGAAACTAGCGTTGCCTCGACTCAGAACCAGTCTCAATGAGGATGTTAGGAATGTTTTACGAGTCGGTTATGATGGTTTACATGAGAAGGATAAGTCTATATTCCTTCATATTGCGTGTTTATTCAATGGTGAGAATGTTGATTATGTGAAGCAGCTGCTTGCAAGTTCTGGCTTGGATGTCAACTTTGGGATAGAAGTCCTGACCAATAGATCTCTCATATGCATATCGAGATGCAAACGCAGCATTAGGATGCACAGTTTGCTCGAACAGTTGGGTCGAGAAGTTGTTTGTGAACAGTCTCTTGACGAGCCTGGAAAACGTCAGTTCTTGGTGGATGCTTCGGAGATCTATGATGTTCTTGTTGATAACACAGTAAGTCGATAACTTTTTCTCTATGTTGCTTTGATGAACATTAGTTTCAGTTGGTACTTGTGTGTTTCAGGGCAGTGGAGCTGTTTTGGGGATATCTTTGGACATATCTAAGATCAACGAGTGGTTTCTGAATGAAAGATCATTTTGTGGGATGCATAACCTGATGTTTCTGAAGTTCTACAAGTCCTCATTGAGCAAAGAGGATCAAACTGAGCTGCATTTACCTGGAGGCTTGGATTATCTGCCACGTAAACTAAGGCTGCTGCATTGGGATGCATACCCAATGACATCGATGCCTTCGAGTTTTCGTCCTGAGTTTCTTGTTGTGCTAAACTTAAGAGAGAGCAAGCTTGAGAAGCTTTGGGAAGGAATACAAGTAAGTAAAAATAGCTCTCTCCTCTCTCAAATCTCAGTTCTGACATAATTGATCTCTGATTGTTTGTTTCTTTTTAGCCTCTTAGAAGTCTGACGCATATGGATTTGAGCATGTCTGAGAATCTAAAAGAGATTCCAGATCTTTCAGAAGCAGTAAACATCGAGGAGCTCTGTCTCAGTCATTGCACAAGTTTGATGATGTTACCTTCCTCAATCAATAGCCTTAAGAAATTGCTGGTTCTTGACATGGAGTACTGCTCAAAGCTAGAGTCTTTTCCAACCAATATCAACTTGGAATCTCTCACCATTCTCAATCTCGATAAATGCTCACATTTGAAAGAGTTTCCAGAAGTTTCTTCGAAACTTGGGTTTGTCTCTCTGTCAGAAACTGCAATAGAAGAAGTTCCGGAATCAATTTCGTCTTGGCCATGTCTAGCAGCATTGGACATGTCAGGCTGCAAGAACCTCAAGAAATTTCCATGTCTTCCCAAGACCATAGAGTGGTTGGATTTGAGCAGGACAGAGATCGAAGAAGTCCCTCCTCAGGTCGAGAATCTCTTCAAACTCAATAAAGTATTGATGAACAGCTGCATGAAGCTAAGACGCATCTCATCTGGTATTTGTAAGCTGGAACATATCGAAACGCTAGATTTCTTGGGGTGCAAGAATGTTGTGAGCTTCCCTGTAGAGATCTTCGAGAGCTCTCGTTTCTGTCATAACCTGGTGATGGAAATGAGGAACATTCAAGACCCTGATCTCCCTCGACCGTTTTATTTCAGGAGTAGCTATATTGACACTGTTCCGGATTGCATCGCACGTCACTGCAAGCTGCCTTTTCTAAATTCGTCAGGATCATCATCAGTCTCCAGCAATATAGAGAATAGTTTCGTTTGGTTCGATGAACTAAGATCCGCGGAAGAATGGCATGAACATGCCGAGTAAAAAAGAAAAAAAAAATGTTTTTACTGTAATTAACCATTTGCCATATGAAGGAAGTAGTTATTTACCGTCTTCATAATGTAAGATAATTTTCTTTACCAAAAAAAATAATATTATCCGAAAGTGTAAAAAACTCATAAAACCAGTGGCGTTCATGTAAATATTAGTTATTGGAAGGGTAGAATGATTAAAAGGAGTTTCTGGGTTTTAGGAATTTCTGGGGGAAAAAGAAAACAAAGGAGACGATAATCAAATGGATCTTCTCAATCGCCCACTCCTTGAGAAATTGCTTCAATCATTTCTTCACAAGTCTGCGTGTAATTCGTTCCTCTGTTGAAGAAATTGGATATCGGTAGTTGCGCAACTCTGATGCCTCGCAGTAATTGTTATTTCTCTCTTTGCTGAAATCACTGTGCTCTTTTATCCATGGCTGCTTCTTCTTCTCTAACTTCATCTCTGTCTCGCAATTGGATGTATCAAGTCTTCCCGAGCTTCTGTGGAGGAGACGTGCGCAAAGCCTTTCTTAGTCACATTCTGAAAGAGCTCAGAAGCAAGGGAATCACACCTTTCATCGACAACGAGATCAAGCGAGGCCAATCGATCGGTCCCGAGCTCGTGCTAGCGATCAGAGAATCAAGGGTTGCGATCGTCTTGCTCTCCGTTAACTACGCTTCTTCGAGCTGGTGTTTGGATGAGCTAGTGGAAATCATCAAGTGCAGGGAAGAGCGTCAACAACAAACAGTGATGACCATTTTCTACCAAGTGGATCCAACCGACGTGAGGAAGCAGATCGGAGATTTCGGAGACGCCTTCGAGGAAACGTGCGTGGGGAAAAGTGAAGAGGTGAAGCAGGCATGGAGGCAAGCGTTGAAGGACGTCGCGAGTATAGCTGGTTATCACACTCGCAACTGGGACAATGAAGCTGATTTGATCAGCAAAATTGCCTCAGATGTTGCAGGCGTGTTGGATTTTACACCATCAAGGGACTTTGATGAGTTTATTGGGATTGAAGCTCGTATCATGGAGATTAATTCGTTGCTGAGTTTGGAATCAGATGAAGTAAGGATGGTAGGGATTTTGGGTCCTGCTGGGATTGGTAAGACGAGCACTGTGAGAGTTTTATATGACCAGCTCTCTCGTGGTTTTCAATTCAGTGCGTTTATGGAGAATATCAAAGGGAGCTATGCGAGGCCTTGTTACGATGACTATCAATTGAAGCTGTGTTTGCAGAAACAGTTGCTGTCTCAGATTGTCAACCAAAAGGATGTTGAGGTTCGTCACTTGGGAGTGGCTCAGGAGAAGCTGAGGGATAAGAAGGTATTGGCTGTTCTTGATGAAGTGGATTGCTTGTGGCAGTTGAATGCAGTGGCAAACCAGCCTGGATGGTTTGGCGGCGGGAGTAGGATTGTTATCACAACGGAAGATAGGAAAGTTTTGAAAGCACACGGGATCGATCGTATTTACGAGATGAAATTTCCGACTAGAGACGAGGCTCTTCAAATCTTCTGCCTTTATGGTTTTGGGCAGAAGTATCCGTGTGATGGGTTTGAAGAGCTTGCTTGGGAAGTCACTGAACTTGCTGGTCGTCTTCCTCTAGGCCTGAGAGTGTTGGGGTCGTATCTTCGAGGAATGTCCATGGACGAGTGGATAGACGCAATACCAAGGCTCAGGTCTAGCCTTGACAGAGATATTGAATCAACGTTAAGATTTAGCTATGACGTGCTGAGTGATAAAGATAAAGCTCTTTTTCTGCATATTGCATGTTTCTTTGTTGGCTATAAGGTCGGTCGCGTTAAGAGATGTCTTGCAAATTGTGGTTTGGACGTCAACCATGGGGTTCTGGTCTTGGCTCAGAAAAGTCTCATAACCATAATAGAAGACGGATCCGTGGAGATGCATTGTTTACTGCAACAGATGGGAAGAGAAATTGTCTATAAACAGTCTTTGGGCGAGCCTGGAAAGCGACAGTTCTTGATGGATACCACGGAGATATCTGATTTACTTGATGAAGATACTGTAAGTTTTTTTCATTTTTTGGACATGTGCAGTCTTCTGTTTCCTTGGTTTTGTAGCTGAGATTTAGTTCTTTTTGAATAATCCATTCTAGGGTACTGGAACTGTTCTAGGCATAAAGCTCCAAACTTTTGAGAGAGAAGAAATCCGAATAAGTAGAACAGCTTTCCAAGGGATGAATAATCTCCAGTTTCTAGCAGTCGGCTCTATAAGCTTATGCACACCCGAAGGCCTCAACTGTCTTCCAGACAAACTCAGATTAATAGAGTGGGACGACTGTCCATTGAGACTTTGGCCTTCCAAGTTCTCTGGCAAGTTTCTTGTCGAACTAGTCATGCGCCAAAGCAAATTTCAGAAGCTTTGGGAGGGAATCAAAGTAAACATAGTCTGCATTTTTTTGTTCCTGTTTTGCGTTTAAAGCGCGGTTAGTCAGTTCTCTAAGTCTTGTGTTTTTTTTTTTTTTTTTTTTTTTTTGTATAGCCTCTCAAATGCCTCAAGCGGATGGATTTGAGTTTTTCTCAGCATCTGAAAGAGATTCCAGATCTCTCAAACGCAACGAGTCTCGAGGAACTAGATCTCTATGAATGCTCAAGTTTGTTAGAGCTCACAAGCTCTATTGGCAATGCCACTAAGCTTACATTCTGCAGACTTGGCAGTTGCTTACTTTTGAAGGAGCTCCCCTCTTCTATTGGTAGGTTAATCAAACTCGAGTTCCTGGACCTCAATGGTTGCTCGAGTTTGAAAGACCTCGGCGGTTGCTCGAGTTTAAAAGAAGTTGATCTGAGCTATTCTGGGATAGAGGAAGTGCCATCATCAATCAGTTCTTGGTCTTGTATTTATAAATTGGATATGTCAGGGTGTAGAAACCTCAAGGAGTTCCCAAATGTTCATGACACCATTGAAGAGTTGGTTTTGTGCGAGACAGGGATAGAGGAAGTTCCTCCATGGCTTGAGAATCTGTTTCGTCTGCGTAAACTAGTCATGTATGGATGCAAGAAGCTGAAAATTATATCTCCAAACATTTCTAAATTGGAGAATCTTGAGTTTCTTGGTCTGCGTATCTCTGGCGAAAATGTGTTTGATAATGCTCGCTTATTCAAAGCAGTAATCGAATGGGGCCCTGACATGAAGCACAGCTGGACATTACGATCAGACTTTAAAGTTCACTACATTTTGCCGATATGTCTACCCGAAAAGGCTCTTACATCTCCACTGTCATTATGTTTCCGCAGCAATGGTTTCAAGACTATTCCAGATTGCATCAGACGTCTATCCGGACTAAGTAAACTTGACATCACAGAATGCAGAAAGCTCGAAGCACTTCCACCGCTTCCAGGTTCCCTTGTATTTTTAGATGCACAAGACTGTATATCCTTGAAGAGAATAGACTCTTGTTTTCAGAATCCAAAGATTTGCCTAAACTTTGCTGCCTGCATCAACCTGAATCAAAAAGCGAGAAAGCTCATCCAGACATCAGCTTGCAAATATGCGCTCTTACCCGGTGTAAAAGTACCTACACACTTCACTCACCAGGCTGCTTCAGGTTCCCTAGCGATCAATTTGACTCCACGACCTCTTCCTTCATCCTTCGGATTCAAAGCTTGCATCTTGCTGTCACAAGGCAGCATTAATTCTGAGGATCACAGTGATGAAGAGGATGAGAAGTCAATGATGGGTGTGTCTTGTCGCGTCAGGGGTAAACAGAATGGCCTCACTGTCCAATATGGATCAAACCAGCTTCATATGCCAGCTCTATATGGATATACAGATCATCTGTATATATTTGAAGATTCTTTCTGTCTAAACCAGGATTTCCCTGAAGCCGAAGAAGCTACTTTCAGCGAGCTTGTGTTTAACTTCATAGTCCATGATAAAACCTGGAAGGTGAAAGGCTGTGGTGTACGAGTTTTGAATGGAGAAAATGCAGATGATGATGAAGGTGGTGAGGATGAAGATGATGACTGTGGTGGTGAGGATGAAGATGGAGATGATGGTGATGGTGAGGATGATGAAGGTAGTGAGGATGATGGAGTTGGTGATGGTGATAATGACGACGTTGAGGAGGATACAGAGGATGTAAATGAAACTCAAGAAGGAGAAAAATCTGGGTATCAGAGTTATGGAATCTTATCTGCAAATCAGATTCCCTCCCGAAGAAGAATGCGGGTATGACGTGGCAGCCCATATACACAGGTGGCTTACGTTATTAAAATAACTTAAATAAATTAAAAAAAAAAAAACTAACAGAAACAGATTTTCGCGCGAGTTTAAAAGCTAACTGATCTTCGCTTCTCTCCATTGCTAACAGAAAATTTTCCCCTTTCTTCATTTTTCCCCAGTTCTCGAGTCCCTTGGGTTTTTTACTTCACTCGCATTGGGTTTTCGTGTATTCGCGCGTTCGTCGAGAAATCTCCGGCTGCAATGGGGGATCCGACGGCGGACTCAACGGCAGCAAACGCCGAAACTCTGAAGCAGGAGTTAAAGAAGTTACTGACGGAGATTTTATCCAACGGCGGAGAAATGAAAGATCGCGTTGAGACTGACGCAAGTTCCGGAGCCTTGAAAGCAATCGACGAGGCGATTAGAATCCTCAATCGCCTGAGAGAAGTTGAATTGAAGACGCCGGAATCTGATATTCCCTCGTCTCCTCCATCGCCGAAGGTGAAAGTTCCGAAAGAGTTTATATGTACGCTTTCGAATCAGATCATGATCGAACCTGTCGTCATAGCTTCTGGGCAGGTATGAGTTGTTTCCCTTTCTTTAGTAACTTTTTCAATTTTCCAAAATTCTGGCAATTTCCTGGGATTCTTGCTCGATTTTAATAATCTTCCTATCTGCAAGTATAGATTTCGATATATTCGTATGAATTATTTTTTATTTGTATACACATTCACCTTCTTTAACCAAATTTGCTATTAATTCGGGAACAAAAAAACAGAGTAATGGTTGACATTGCCAAGAATTTACATGATTGTGTATGTTTGTATACATATCGAATGTGTGCCTATGTAGGAGTTGAAAGATAGATATAAAGGACTGTGTGTAAAAATGTGTGCATTTTTGTGTTATACAATTGAGTTTCTTGAAAGTTAGGAGTCTTATTGATGGTGTTAGTGCTGATTTTGCTCTTTCGTTACTTTTTACAGACCTATGAAAAAAGATGTATCACACCGATGCTGATGAATGAAAGTAAATGTCCCAAAACCAAAAAAGACCTCTCCAACACTTTGTGGACGCCGAACCATTTGGCTGATGAGATGATTACGCAATGGTGTCAAGCCAACGATTTTGATCGGCCAAAACCATCTGATGAAACAGTCGCTGAGAATCCTGAGATGTGCAAAGATGGAATAGAGTCATTGCTTGAGCGGATCTCCTCTCCCTCCTCCTCACTTCAAGATCAGACAGAAGCTGCGAAAAGTCTCCGCTACATGACCAAGAAATATCTAAATGATCGGGTTTCGTTTGTCGCTGGATTCCCTAATTCGATCACACGATTGCTCACTCCTCTCTCTGCTTTGGCTGACTCGAATTCCGAGCTTCAGGAGCATCTCGTGACGACGTTGTTCAACATCTCAGTCGTTGACAAGACCAGAACAGTAATTGCTGAAAACCCTCTTGTGATCCCACTGCTCACGAAGTCTCTGAAGCAGGGCACGGTTGAGACACGAAGAAACTCTGCATCGGCTTTATTGTCACTCTCGGCCATTGATTCCAACAAGATCATCCTGGGGAAGCCGGAAGTAATCAAGGCTCTGATAGATGTTATTGAAGAGGGTGATTTTTTAGTCAGCAGAGAGGCCGCTAACACAGCTTACAACATCTGTACAGTGTCACCAGAGAATTTGATTCGGGAGCTAATGATGAGGATCAATGGAGGAAGCAATGCGGATGTGTTGTTAAGCGTCTTGGCAATGATCTCTGCGCAGGAGTGTGCGGTCAAAATGATGTTGTGTCTAGGGTTTATCCGTGATCTGTTCACCATCTTGAGGAAATCGAGGTGCTCGAAAACTTGCGAACATGCTTTAGTGGTCGTCTACAACATGTGCATGCGTGACAAAGTAGCGACTAGGATGAAAGTCGTCAACGATGAGGAGAACCAGTACGGGACATTTACGAAGCTTGCAAAGCAAGGATCAGATGGTGGAGTGAAAATAGCAAAATCGATTTTACGGTGGCTCAAGATATACGGTACTGGTAAACATCCTCAGACGGAATGAAGGAATCACCAAATTCAGGTATTGTTGATACGTCAAAAAATATAGTTTAGCGGATACATATACCAAAATTGAATCGTAGATAGTTGTTGAAAGTTTATAAAGATAGAAGGAAAAGCTGTATAGTTCTTTCTTTGAGAACGAAATGTGCCTATAAAGAGGGATTGAGTTTTGCTACTCTTAGTTGATTTTGTTGTTTCTGAGTAGTGTGACACTATCAAAGAGATAGATAATAAAGATTTGAGAGGGTTTTAAAGGTTTACAAAAGCAGGTGTTGTTGTAATAGTAACTTTACGAGTTAAAGAAAAGGAAAATGAGCTAGTTAATATACATATGATAAACAGCTATAACACTACAAATTGAACACTAATCTATCTAGTGTGAACATATCCTTATTTAGTACCAAGCCAATCTGAATTTGAGCTCCATCTATTTTTTCGTTTACACATCAAATTAGTAAAACTAAATTGCGTATATATTTTTTTAAAATATACAATACAATACCAAAAAAAAAAAAAAAATGGTGTAAATCGCTGAATTAATCTTATTTTTAAGTGGCATAAAAAAACAAAACATTGCAAGGAATTCTTAATTTGACCATAGCATGCTCAACACATTGAACACTTTGCTTTAATGAAAGAATAAATGATCGCAAAATCTGGATTTTTTTCCCAACCAATCAGAATCTTAATTAAATCTGATTCCCAAAAAACAATGCATAAAATGTGGGTATGACGTGTCAGCCTATATACACAGGTGGCGTACGTAATTAAAACAAATTAAGAAAAAAAGAAGAAACAGATGAACGAATAAACTCAAACGAAAAAGCTAACTGATAGATTGTTTCATCGCTTTCTCTCTTTCTTTTTCCTAACAGAAATTTTCTCATTTGTTCTACTTTTTCCCCCAATCCTCGAATTTCTAGGGTTTGACTTCTCTTGCTTTGAGTTCTGCGTATTCGCGCGTTCGTCGAGAAATATCCGGCTGAAATGGCGGATTCTACGGCGGACTCAACGGCAGCAAACGCCGATGCTCTGAAGCGGGAGTATGAGAAGCTACAGGCGGAGATTGTGTCTAACGGAGGAGGAAGCAAAGATCGCGGTGAGACTGATGACGGAAGTTCTGGAGTCTTGAAAGCAATTGATGAGGCGAATAGGATCACGAATTGTCCGAGGAACGTAGAATCGAAGAAGCCGGAGACTGATATCCCTTCTTCGTCTTCTCCGTCGCCGATGGTGAATGTGCCGAAAGAGTTTAAATGTCCACTCTCTAAGAAGATCATGATCGAGCCCGTAATCGTAGCTTCTGGGCAGGTTTGATCTTCTCCTTCTTTTAAGTAAATTTGTTAAATTTCCACAATTTCTTTGGATTCTGGCTCGATTTTGCTATAATCTTTCTGTTTGCAAGTATAACATTCGATTTCGTATGAATGCTGTTTATTTACATATACATGCATCTTTTTTTTTGAACATTGCGATGAAACTCCATGATTGTGTATCTTTGTATGCGTATCGAAATGTGTGCTCATATACAATCAAATTTCTTGAAAGTTAGGAATCAAGACTCAATTTTTTATCTTTTTCTTTTGTTTTGCTTTGTGTTTCAGACGTATGAGAAGAGATACATCACAGAGTGGCTGAAGCATGAACGTACATGTCCCAAAACCAAGGAAGTCCTCTCGCACTCACTGCTAATACCGAACCATTTGGTCGATGACTTGATTACGAAATGGTGTTTAGCCAACAAATTTGAGCGGCCAAAATCATCTGGAGCAATGGTCACTGAGCTGTTCACTGATGGAGTAGACTCGCTGCTTCAGAGGATCTCCTCTCCCTCGTCTGTTGAAGATCAAACACAAGCTGCAGGAGAGCTTCGTAGCCAGACCAAGAAATTCGCCAGTGTTCGAGCATTCTTTGTCGCTGAAGTCCCTGATTCCATCACTCGTTTGCTCACTCCGATCTCTGCTATGGACGATGCGGTTCACTCGAATCCCGAGCTTCAAGAGTATCTCGTGACGACATTGTTCAACATCTCGATCGTTGAGAAGAATAAGAAAGTAATCGCTGAAAACCCTCTTGTGATCCCACTGCTTACAAAGACTCTGAAGCAGGGGACAGCTGAGACAAGGAGAAACTCTGCAGCGACTTTAATGTCACTTTCGGTCATTGATTCCAACAAGATCATCATGGGGAACGCTGAAGTACTCAAGGCTCTGATAGATCTTATTGAAGAAGGTGATGTAGTAGCCACGTTTGAAGCAGCTTCAGTGGTCTTTAAGCTCTGCACTGTATTGGAGAACAGAGAAAAGGCGATTTCAGCGGGTGTGACTCAGGTGCTAATCAACAAGATCAAAGGAGGAAGCAATTGGGCTGTGTTGTTAGCTGTATTGGCATTGGTTTCTACACACAACCGTGCGATTCAAGTAATGGATGATCTAGGGTTTATCCATGATCTGTTCAGCATCTTGAGGAAACCTAGCTGCTCGGTGACTGGTGAGAACGCTGTGGTGATCGTGTTTAACATGTGGGACAAGAACAGACACAGTTCTGGACTGAAAGTGATTAGAGAAGAGGAATATCAATACGGGACGTTTACGAAGCTTGCGAAGCAAGGAACAGATCGTGCAGTGAGGAAAGCGGAAGCGATTTTACAGTGGCTTAAGAGATACGGTACCAGGTAAAGAGCCAGAGAGAGGATGAAGGAAGGAATTCACCATTGTTAGTACATAGTATAGTTTTGCAAACTTACTCTTTTGATACATATGTATAGGTTAAAAAAAATGATCGAAAACTAGGGGAAAAAAGTAAGAAAAGAAAACGATGTATAGTTTCTCTTAGAACAAAAAGTGCCCTAAAAGATGGCCTGAGTTTTGCTACTCCTACAAATTGACTTTCCTGTTACTTTAACCGAAAGCAACAAAAGGATTGAGATAATTAATTACTTTTGTTTCAAAGATAAATAGTTACTTGTTAAAATGTGATTATGGTGGGGTTAGGCAGTCGTGATTATGGAATTGGTTGATGGTTGTCGGTGGTAATTAATTGAGCTACTGTGGGGCTAAAATTGGAAAAGAAATAAGAAGAAGAAGATAAGACTATTAAAAGTGTGATGTAACATGGAGGCCAATGCAATGTGAAGACTTTGTAGCAAAACCACATTCGCCAATCACGGCCTGGGCAAATTATCCGTTATATTTGCTTCGATCCGTTATCCGTTCCGATTCGATCCGAAAAATCCGGATAACCGTAATTTTACAAAGCAAAGCAAATACTAAAAATTAATATCCGTTAAAACCGGAGCAAATCACAAATACTGAAATTTTAAAAGCCGGATATCCGATCCGCTCCGTTATACATATAGATATATCTATATATATAAAATTACATATATAAATTGGATGATTGTTATGTTTATATCTAAATTTTATAAATCTATATTCATTAAATTGATTATTTAAACACTAAAAAAAATTAAAACAAAATAACTACTAATAGTTTTTTAATTAAAATTATATTTTTGTGTTAAAAATTGATTTTTCTGAAATTACGGATATCCGGATCAAACGGATCGGAGCGGATAATCCGCGGATATTAAACAAAGTTACGAATATCCGGATTTTCGGATATCCGAAAATTTTCGGATCGGATCGGATCAGAAAATCAAATATCCGGACGGATCGGATCGGATCACGGATACCTGTTTTTTGCCTAGTATTTGCTCCGTGCCCAGGGCTAATCACCATGACTGGTTTCTTCTTATCCACCGTAGACTTTCCGTGTGATAATCAGATATTAAGAATAGTTAACTATTGAACGATGAAACAAAGGACGTTTCTTTTGTTTTTTTGGCAGTGGAAAACTATTATATCACACTCAAACTGTTTATGCCGTGAAAAGATATCGTCACGAGAAAATCTAATTTCAAAAGTGGCATGAGTGATATTTGACTCCAATGGACAAACGTTATAGTGGCGTTAGTTAGGCCATCTACCAAAATGACTTTTGTTACTTTAATTATAACGTGCGTTGTTACTAGTTTGTTTTTGGACTTTTTGACCTAATAATACAATATTCACTTGCTTAGTTTTGGTTAACGGTGCAATCTTAGCAGAGAGACAAAAAAGAAAAAAAGATGCACTCTTCATTTAAATTCCACAAAACACACACAAGTTGAGAACAGACGTGCCAAAAATGAGAGAAAAATTATAAAGGTAGAGATGTAATGAAACCTATTACTTTGTTCCTCCTTTTTCTATAAACCATGACCATGAGTATGTTTATGCCATGCCACGTATATTTAATATATCATATATGTATAGCAAATGAAATTAAATAAACAAATTACATTATTAATTTATGATCCCTACTATTTCTTCTCCTTCTCTTCATTTCTTCCTTTTCAAATTCATGCGCATGGAACCAAACATGCTAGAAAGCCAGGCATTCTCTTCTGCAACACCAAATTAACAAAACATATACTTAAATATAACGAAAAGTAATAAAGGATGAACTTGTATAATATGTCAAGTTATCAGAGAAATTAAAAAAAAAAATATTAACAAAAAAAAAAGTTATAAGAAAAAACAGTGAGATGGGAATCAAGAATCTAACCCTTCTTGAAGAATGGATAAGCTCAGGAGGAATCTTGTAGAGATCCTCATCAACGGGCTTAGGTGGCTTCGAAGCCGGAGCGGCGTCGTTTCCATGAAACTGCCTCACTCCGGTGACGTCTATATAATACTTGTCCGTCTGTGCACTGACGTCACGCACACGCCTATGTGGTCCCCTCTTTTCTCTCGTCCCCGCCGTCTACGGCAAGTGATTACACACAACACAACGCGTTCTTCTTTAGATAAATTACATTTACCGAGTTACTTTTTTTAATAAAAACGTAATTATGAACCTGTCTTGTGGGATGGAGGTGACGTGGACGGGGATGGTGAGAAGCAAGCTTTAGGGCTTCTGCAGAAGAAGAAGAAGATGAAGAAGAAGTAGTTGTGGAAGCAGAAGAAGAAGTGAAGTTATGATGGTGACGAAGCAGACCAGCTTGTCTTGGATTCTCGAAGTATTGTGTTATTGGCATCTCATTTGCTTCTTCCCATTCTCCAAACCTCGGAATCTGTCCACTTTTCTTCTTGTTATTATTATCATATCTCCCCTGTTCCATTTGTTTCACCCAAATTATTAATTATTTGTACATAAATATGCTAATTAGTCTCTATAATCAAGAACCCTGCAGAAAGAATAATCAGGAGTACTACTCAAGAAACCTATTCTAATCAGGTACACAAGAATCAGAGGAATCAAGAACCAAGAGCTCACAAGAATCAAGAATTTAATATTCAAGATTCAAAAACCCTCAAGAATCAAGGATTCAAGAGTTTAAAAACAAAAAGGAACCACAAAGGGGCAAACACGTGACCAAGTTTGGCAGTTAGCATATATCTATGAATGTGGAGTCTATGTGTTAGAGAGGGAGAGACTAGATTTTACGTGAGGAGAGAACAGTATAGGATAGGTGTTGACGATCTTGACGAAGAGTTCAACTATTTGTCAAGAAATAGAGAGAGGTAACACTTTTGGAATCTTAAAGAAGACAGAAAGAACACAAGAATAGAGGATTAAAGAGGATCACTTACATGAGCCATGACGGTTTCTTTCTGTTTCTATCTCTCTCCACGCACTAACACACAAAATAAGAAAGAGTGATCTCCAGAAAGCTTACGGTCTTTTATAACAAGAGTGGGGTATGTATACAAAAAGAAACCGTCCTTACCTATAAACAGTCGGTCAACTATGAGAGAGATATAGAGAATTTGATACTATTTAATTTCTTATTAAGCTAATTTCTTTTTTGGATAAAAACTAGTAGTACTAGTGAAGAGAAGAGTCTCTTCTAAGTTTGTTTTATTGGGAAAAAAAATCATTAGATAGATATTAAATTACGCATTTAATTTTCCAAATATTTATGTGTTTATAGTTTTAGTTTCAGTCCAGTCCAATTTACTAGATCACTGTAATATAATGTTACACAAGGGCTTTTACATATTTTTAACAAGCTGTATATATGAAGAATAGGTTGATTACGATATATATATATATATGGGTTATAACTTGTTATAATTTTCGTCGAATCTAGATTTGAATACAAATTTATGGTTACATATAATATAAACGAATCTTGTCGTTTAGAGTCATTATTATAGATTCATTATTACTTCGGAATTTCCGAATCACGAAAAGAAAAAAGGACTAGAGACTAGAGTGAAGAGTAAAGCGGAAGGTAGGAAAAAAGACAGAAGAAACGCGTTATACGCTTCAAACTTTTCTTCGACCAAAATGACAAAGAAAGTCTTCAAACTTTTAGTTAAGTTTTTGACAGTGACACACATTTACTTTACGTTACAGTCCAAATAAAAAATCTACCCCCTTTGTTGACAAAGATGTCCACTTTAATAAAAATATAAAATCAATTTAGCATTTCATATTCTAATGTTTTATGGTTACGATTATTATGTTCTTACTATTGTGATGATTGACTATAATATTGTCGGCCCTCTATTCACATGGAATTCCTGAAATGTTTTTATGATATTACTTTTAGTTGTTAGCTGATATGAATACATAACACGTTAATGATCCCTCATTTCTCATCATTTATAGTTTTCCATTATGTTCAATCAATGAGCCTACAAATGAATGCAAACTGTTTGAGAGTTTATATATTCAGTGTGACTCTGATTTAGTGATTTATTCATTCATAGATAAACATTGAAAATAATATGAGCTGTTAAAGTAGGATATCTTAACTTCATAAGTCATAACTATATGTTTAAAAAAAGAAAATTCAATACGTAAAGAGTCATATCCTCCATATCGTTCTCAATTTGATTATATATAAATTTGAAAATTGACAACATATACATTATTTATTGGTCCAAACTGAAACCAGAGGTTGAGCTGCAGCCTGGCCTCGTGGAGTGATATCCGGTCAGAAATAAACAAGTCTTGACTTTTCTTTGTCGTTGACCAAATTGCTTTTTTCCCAATGGGAAAGTTAGAAAATTAATCCCTTTGTTATTTTCCTTGTAATTCGATAAAAGAATATTAATCTACAAGCCATAATCATTATTTGACCATATCATAGCAATCTTTTTTCCTTTAGCAACAACAAAAAATGTTTTTTTTCCTCTTTTGATAAGCGATAGATCCAAAACTTGAGACGAGAAGTAGCAACCTGAGGTCAACTTTCAAGTTCTATAAAAAACCTAATTTTATAACTAAAAAAAAAGGTTCCTCCTGATCTTTTTATTTTGCCTATATAAATTGTCATGCATTCAGATAAAAAATGCACGATTCACAAGAAAACGGTCTAAACAATTAATGAGAGTGTTACTTTAACCAACTAATGAAGAAAAACCAGTTACCAAATCAAAATCTGAATGAAGAAAGCGTTACATTTGAAACTGTTGCCAAAATGGTTATATGTGTCATAACTCATAAATATATGTAGTTGGCGTAAGCTTGACGATGACGGTGTAGAAGTTGGCAAGTCTTTGGGGGATTAGCAGTCAAAGTTCACATTTTAAAAGTCAAAACTTTTTGCTGCCTGCCATACTCCAACCAGCAAATTTGTCAGTCATGTGCATTTAAATGTCGGCTCAATATGGTTTCTATAGTACAAAATAACAAAAGTTGAAGCTAGCTACGACATTGTTTATTCATAAACTTTTATCTACAAATGTTAAAATGGAATGAAAAGTAACCAAATTCGCATGCGTTTTACACTTAAGTGTAAATCTAACCATAAATTTGAGATTTCAGTTGTTTGCAAGCAATAAACTTTGGGATTTAATTCAGTGATCCCAATGAAAGAATTCATTACTGTTTCTCCTGCTCAAGATTGATCAATTTGAAGAGAAACTATGAAAATCTTGATACTATATGGCCCGACGATATAGGGAAAAGCTATAAAAATAAAACCGTGTGGGTTTCGCACTGGGCCGGTCTGCAATCCGATAGTCACAAGTTTAGCTTTAGGAACGACGCAGATAGTACTTTTGAGTGTACTTTTATTCTTTAGATGATATATATTTTTGGTCGGTTTGGTTCAGTTTTTCATTGCTTAATCTTAATACCCACAAGTCTTTTAAACGAGGAGACTCCTTTTAACGAATTTATGCATGTAATAACCTAGACTCTGACTACTTGAATAGCAAGAAACTAAACAAACTTCCTCTTTTATTCTTCCCAAAAGGGTATACAGAACATACCTTCTCATGGATTTTAAGTTCCATTTCACCCTTCTAACTTCTAAGGTTTGCCTCTGGAAAAATTAGCAGGTGAAACGTGAAAAGTCGCAAATCTTTTTTTGGAATTAAAAAAATCTTATACGTGAAAAGTCATGATGTTTGATAGGCCGAACCAATGTCTGACTTAATGATTCAAGCTGAGGCCCATTAAAGGCGGCCCAAGTTTAAATTTGCCCTAACTAAAGGCGACGGAGAGAAAATGAAAGAAAATCTTTAAGAATATCCTATATATCTCCGTTAAGTCGGCTTCTATACTCTTTATAAATAGGGGTCGACATTCATTATAGAGACATCACTTTTTTACTGCACGAAAAGGCATACACCACACACTTAGCTCTCTAGACTGCTATCAAGAAAATCATCTCTGGATCACTCTTTTTGCGTCTTACCACATCGACTTCAGTTCTCTCTTGTAAAGATACTAATCTCTATTGTGTAGGTTTCAATTCACACAAGTATCTGATTCATGAGGTAATAAATATCATATTTTCTAGTGTCATAAAGAGAAAATTTGCAAATACTCAAACTAATATTTGTTTCTAAAATCTTATCTCGTAAAATATATGCAAAAATTACTTGTGTCGTAAAAGCATTTCTGCATATATTTTACAATATAACAAAATGGGTTTGTATAGGAAGAAATTTCCTAACTTATTTACCTAACTAATAAGAGCTAAGCTTTAATGTTAGTGTTGAGATAATGGCGACGTTAATTTTTATAGATTTGTTAACTTATATGGAAAGAAAGTTTATAAACATAAAGATTATTATGCATTTCTGCATATATTTTACCAGATAAGATTTTCTTAATTCCAAAATGGGTTTGTGTACGAAGAAATTATCTTATCATAATATACAAACCCATTTTGGAATTAAGAAAATCTTATTGGTAAAATATATGCAAAAATACATAATAATCTTTCTGTTTATAAACTTTTCATTTTTCTTTCTGTATAAGTTAACAAATCTATAAAAATTAAGGTTGATGTTATCTCAACACTAAGTTCCTAGCTAAGCTTTTATCAGATAGGTGAGTGAGTCAGTTAGGTGAGTCAGTTAGGTGAGTCACTCAAAACATATCTTCCTTACTCTATATATAAATGAATATAATTTTGACTGGATTAATAAATACATATCGTTTTCAAGGAGGAAGAGAAGAAAACAATATAACCTTCTTCTTAAACCCCCTTGTACGTTCAAGAAAAAAAGATACGTACAAGGTAACGACGAAGGTAAAAGATGATTAGTGCGGTGAAGTCGGCATTACGCGATATGGTGTTTACTTTTTTCTGGGTTAATCTCTCGGCGACGTTTGGCATCCAGGCGGCGGCGATTGTTTCCGCCACCGGGCTTCATGGCATCACTTGGGCGCCTCCGGTGATAATAATATTGATTGTCTTCGTCTCCATCTCAGTTTTTAGCGTTATTGGAGACTTTATCGGTGGCGCTAGCTTCAATCCTTGTGGAAACGCCGCGTTTTATACCGCTGGCGTCTCCAAGGATTCTCTCTTCTCCTTGGCCATTAGATCTCCAGCTCAGGTATATGTTTTTATGATCTAACTAGCTTTTGAAACCGAACCAAGTTTTTTTGTGTCTTGTCTCTTCGGATTAAAATCTTTTGAATATTCTTAGTTTAGATCAATGTGTTAGCACTTATTGAGCGCAGGACTGTGGAAAGACGTTTCAATTTTCGTTTGTTGGCTTTATGTGAAGATTCCTGCGTGTGTCCAAAACTCCAATGTGTGATGTGTTTCTGAATCACATATACATACAAACATTATTAACTGTAGATTTTGGGACAACTTGGACTGTGGTACCCAGTGGCATTTTTTTTGTGGTGCATATTTTTTGAATATATTTTACTATTTTTGATGCTTTTACTTTATTTGTACGCTATTCTTTCGATATCAACAATTTGGTTTTTACCCACTATTGAATGTAAAATTATGTGATCTCAGGCACTTGGTGCGGCAGGAGGTGCGATAACGATCATGGAGATGATACCTGAAAAATATAAGACTATGATTGGAGGGGCTGCAGTATGGAAAGTTGATGCACACAATGGAGCTATCGCAGAAGTGATTCTAAGTTTTTGTATTACATTTTTGGTTTTGCTGATTATCCTAAGAGGTCCTCGGAAGATGCTTGCTAAGACTTTCTTGCTTGCTATCGCTACCGTCTCAGTATTTATGGTAGGATCTAACTTCACTAGACCATTCATGAATCCTGCTCTTGTAAGTTCATTATCATTGACCCTATTTTTTGTTTTTAAACGTTTTGAAAACGAATCTTGATAGTCTTGTGGTATATATATTGTGCGATGCAGGCATTTGGGT